AGGTTAAGTTCATCAAATTGTATCAGATTACTCTTTTTTTTCCCTCTTCTTTCTTCTTCTGGTTGAGCTCTGATCATCCAGTCATTGAAGCCAGGTCGAATGGGTATTATCTGCAAGTGTGGGTGTTCTTGTGCATATGCCCTCTCTTCTTATCAGCTTAGCCCAATGATCCTTGGCACCTTCTCCTCTCACCTCTCAGAATTTAACTACGTTTATGATGCTAATATGTACACTGATCCCTTCTTTCTATCCCTACTGTGACTCCTCCACCCTTCAAGTCCACATCTTCAATAAAGGCTTCTCTGACAACTCCAGTCAACACTCAACTGCTCATTTTCTGGCTTTCTAGCCCATTGACCCTCAGGGTCACACAATGGATCACAGGTGAGCTGTCTCTTTAAAATAGTGCTGCTGTTGTTAAGTGTGTTCAAGTTGGTTTGACTCATAGTGACCCTGTTTAGGGTTTCCGTGGAGTGGCTGGTGGGTTTGCACTATCAACATTGTGGTTAGCAATCCAATGCTTATCTATAGGGCTTATGCCTGATACCTCTGTATCTGCCCCACTGCCTACTAGAGGGTTGGAACGATTGGTAAGTCCCTAATAAATCCTTATAGAATGGTTAGATTGAGAAGGCAGTTGGTAGTAAGGCTTCCAGAATAAAGCAGGATATAGCCACTACCTTTTGTTCCTCTTTCTGAGGTTAGAAGAGTCTTATAACCAACTCCAAGACAGTGGCTATGTTTTTCTACCTGGGAGACCCAATTCTTGAGCATATCAGAGTGGAAGAAACACACAAGTAGCACAAGACCAGAGGTGCCCATGACAGTAGATAGAGAAGCCTTTATGGGGTATAGTTGCTTTTTAACCCCTCTCTTTTTCCAACTGTCTTCCTTCATGGGCAATGTACAAAGACAGGAGGAAGGGGGAAAGAGTGCAAGGGGGAGCCTCGTAGTTATCTCCAAGAAATTTAGATTGATGACCATTATTTTGCCAATAACTCCTACCCTTCAGGACACATCAAGGATTCGGTGCTGCTCCAAGACAGTCAACTTAATGTACTAAAGAACCTCAGGCCACAACAGGATCTTTCAGGTGCTCCCCCCAAATACCACTGCCTGCCTGTTTTCCCTCCATTTTGGATTCAACAAGGAAAATCTTTTGAACAAGGTACATGTTGATTTTATGACCTCTTCTCAAATGTTTGGATTTTTAGTACCTTAAAATGGAATGCCCCAAAGTAAGGTCTAGAGATTCTGAGTTCCATTGTTCTCATTTATAATATGAGGGATCTAGTCTAGACTAGCACTGTCCAATTATACTTTCTGCAGTGATAGAATGTTCTATAATATGTGCAGTCCAATATAGTAGTCATTCACCAGATATGGTTACTGCATACTTGATGTGAATCTGAGAAACTACATTTGTACTTGTGGATCTGAGAAACTACATTTGTAATTGCATTTAATCAAAATCATTTAGGGTCTAAATAGTTACATGTGGTTAGTGGCTACTGTATTGGACAGTTCAGATCTGGATTCTAGGTTTTCAATGATTTCTTAGGTCTTAGTTTCCCCTCTAACGTTCTTTGATCCTGTAGATGTTTACGCAGTGCTGGCTTTTACGCCAGAAATCTGTAGTATAATAGCTATCCTCTCACTTAGTATGTGTAAAATCTTGGGTAAGTCCCTTAACCTGTGTTATAGCATCTGCTTAATCATCGTGAAATGTGCATAGTAAGATCTACCACATTGCTGCACAGAAAACGATTATGAGCTCTGTTTAAGTAAATTGTGTTACAACCTGGATTTTAGTTGTCAATATTATTCCTGGGAACTTGAAACATTAAGAGTCAGAAGTTACCTTTGATAAGGGAGATGGGAAAAGAAGACTAAGTAACTATAATGGGCAAAGAATAAGGTCTTGTCTGGTTCCAGTATTTTTAAGAAAAGAAAAGAGTCCAATATAATATAAAGGTCATTTTTCTGCAATGAAAAAGGAATTTTCCAGAGGTAATAACAGTGCTTGACCAAGCTGTTCTTGGGAAGGAGATCTGGTCAGGATAAGGAGAGTAGCTGGTCTATCAGATGAGTGGAGAAGAAAGTGGCAGGCTCTCAGAGCCTCCCTCGTGCCACTAAATATTCCAACCAACCATATTGTAGTCATTGTCATTGTTGTGTTGTTAGCTGCCAATGAGTCAGCCGCAACTCACGGTGAACCCATGCACAATGGAACAAAACATTGCATGGTCCTGTACTATAGAATCACAATTCTTTTGGCCTATACATTGATCTCTATGCATTTTGCTAACGTGGTTAACAATCCTGAGACCAGATGATTCTGGGGCACTGAAAAGATCAAGTTTCTAGGCCATCCGTATCCTGGGCAATGGTAAACTTACCCAGCAACGCCTCTGTCTGGACATCTGCTGTTCATCCCCACATGGCACCCCATCTTGCCATTGTCTCACTCCTTTCTCTTCAAATACTTGACTATCTCCAACTAATAGCCTTAGACAGCAGGGTCCAAAATTCCTGAGCAGTGAATTTCAGTGCTCCAGTTTTCAGGTGGACAACATTGCACACTTAAAGGGTCAAGTGATTCCCTTGATTGTTTTCTACATCAATCAGCTCTCACAACCAGGTAGAAAATAGAGAGACCATAGAGTATCATGGTTAAACACATAGCCATTAGCAGCAGACTTTTAAATTATGTGACTTCTCTGGGCTTCAGTTTCTTTATTTATAAAATGGAGGTGACCATGCCTGCCTTTCCCAACAGGGTTGTACGTGGGAGTTAAATGGGATAATGGAGAGCCTGGCACATAGTAAGTGCTCAATAAACGTTTGTTATAGTCTCCCCTAACTTAGGTTTCTTAAGCATAATTACAAACTAATTGCAATGCCCAATTGCCTATAACCACATGAGCCCAAAATCAACTTTTAAAGAAGTAAAAGCAGCTCAGAGGCTGTAACTTATACCTTAACTAATGGTTTTATTGGTTTTAACTTTATTTCCCCTTGGCCTCCCTCTACTTACCAGACACTTTATTTGGAGAAGTAGTAAAAGCCTTGGCTGAAAATCGCAACAACCCCAACAATGTGATGTTGTTGGGCAAACTGCTTATGCTGCCTGCAGTCTCAGTTTGCTGTTTGTAGCGTGGAGGTAATGGTATTTGCATTCCTTCCTCCCGGGTTTGTTGTGAATAGTCACAGGAGAGGATGGAGGTAAAGCTCCCTAAAAGCTCTAAATTATTATCCCAGTGAACATTATTTGGATATCTGAATTCATATTTGATATATAGAGAGACCAAGTTTTGTGATCTCTTTCCAGCACTGTACCTTCCAATTCTTTGCTTATAAACCTGTTTCTATTAAGCATAAACAAATGAGCCAGATGGTGATATTGACTGAGAAAAATCCTAGGTCCCCCACCAACCACTCCCCCACCCCCCACACATGGATTGAGTCACATATTAATCTCACCTGGGCTATAGCCAAAGGGATGAATGTCGGTCTACACCCCTCTCCCCACAATGCCTGTGCCCCAACTTAGTCTGACATGTAAGAATGTTCAGTAGGCGAGTGGACATTTGGCCACAATTCTATTGCCTACACCCACAGAAATGTGTTTGGTTCCAGGTGATTCTGACTAGGAAGGATGGACCTGAGGTCTGGTCTGATCCCAGGAAATTGTTCCAGAATATCCACAAGGTCTTGAGGTCTTCTTGGAGGCAGGCCTCATATGGCCCTGGGCTACCTCAGATGACAAAGTCCCCATCAGACTTGCTTGGACCACTAAAACCTGACCAGACTCCCCTGAACCTACACCTGTGTCTGGGTCTGTTTCACCAAAACTCTTGACATCAACTCAAACCTGGAGGAGCCTTTAGGAGCAAATGGACAAAAGAAGGAAAGCTAGAAGAAAAGTGTAACCCCATAAGCAGGCATAAGACTCTCGATCAAAGAGGGGAATGGTGAGGAGAAGCGAGGGCTAGAGAACATAGAGGGAAGGTGAGGCTGGCTCAAGGAAGGAGAAAGAGACTTCAGAAGTCCAATGTCTATCATGCACACACAAGGCCCCAAAGGCTTCCCGATCCCTGGTTGAAAGACAGCCTCACATTGTTTCACAGAGTTGCATGCTGGGAGTGGAGGCATTGCTAAAGCTTGGCTCCAAGCAAGGCGGGTTTGCCAGACTGTTTCAGCAATAAATCTACCTTGAGTAAGTGATGAAAATAGCTGCAGGACCCTTTAAACCATTGATGAAAGATTTGTTAAATATGCTGGAGTCATCTGTTGACTCAGATCCTTCCTGAGGGCTGCACAGACAAGGTAAGCCAGAGAGCTAAGTAGTGGTCCCACTATAGTGCAAGTAGAGGAGGTTGGCCCACAACCAGCTATCTGCTGATAGCCTAGAATCCTAAGAGCATGCTTCAAAAGGAACACCTCAAGGACCACAGAACAAGGCACGCATCAACCATACCACTTTCATCCACTGCCCCTACACATTCATTATCTATCTGATTTGAGATCCAGACAACTCTGTAAGGAAAGAAAGGCAAGAAATTAGGATCCCTCTTTCACAGATGAGGAAACTGTGTCCAAGCAGTGAAGACTGAATCCCCGAGCCTCCTGACTCCCAACTTAGCTCTGTGTTCACGGACCTGGCTGTCACTTCTGTGAAGGTGTAATAAAAACACAGAGCTAAGGAAGGAGTTCTGGTAGCGTAGAGGTTACGACTCGGGCTGCGAACCTCAAGGTCAGCAGAAAGATGAGGCTTTCTGCTCCTGTAAAGATTTGCAGCCTTGGAAACCCTGTACAGGGTTGCTATGAATCAGAACTGACTCCACGGCACATAACAACAACAATAAGGAAGGAGTGGGATGAGGGCCTTGAGCATTTCTCAGAAACACAAGAAGGGAGACCATTTGAAAACAGGCTAACAGCATCATGCCCACATCTAGGGTTACAGGGCTGACCCATTATTCACCTATTGCAGGTCAACAGGACCTGGATGAAGGGGAAGCTGGGACTGGTGGACATGTGGACGAGGACTCAGTAGCTGAGAATCACAGCAGTCATAGGACTCACTTACCACCACTCAGGAAGCAGCCCTGGCAGGAAGATGAAAACTGGGCCCAGGTACCATTGCTCATGGGCTCCTCACATCATCATTTCATGGGGTCTTTCATGGAACAGATGATGGTTAGATGTGTTTGACCACTGTTTCCCACAGTGTCATCTGTGAAACCTGACTATTGCCAGATGCTCCACAAAAAAAGGGTTTTGTGACCAGATCCCTTTGGCGAATGCTGCATGCTGTATCTCTCTTCCAGAGAGTTAAATCACACATTTGGATATGAATGGCTTTGAGAAAGTCTGTCATAAAGTAAAGGAGCTCTGATAGCCTACTGGGTTACAAGTTGGGCTGCTAACAGCAAGGCCAGCAGTTTGAATCTACAGGTCGAAATATGAGGCTTTCTGCTCAGGTAAAGATTTACAGCCTCAGAAACTCGATATAGGCCCGCTAGGAGTCAGAATCAACTCGATGGCACACCATCATCATAAAGTAGCTGGTTTCGCTTTGTGTAACACAGGGTGTGCTAAATTTATTTAACTACAGATACTCCCCCACTCACTCCCTAATCTAGCAACTGTAGTCTTGTCTAGAAAATAGAGCTCTGGGTGTTTATTTTGGAAAACCTCGGTTTGAGCATAGTACCTTACTAGTTGTGGTGAGCATGCCAAGGAAACTTCCCTTTGAGCCTTAGTTACCTCTTCCATATCTCACACGGCTGCTAGGGGAATTGGTGATGGTGCTGTTGGTGGGTACCCTGAAGTCAATTTTTAATTCATAGAAACTCCTGGGTCGTTATGAGGATTAAATAAGCTAAAATGTAGAAATGCTTTCTAAACATAAAAGCTCATGTGTATGCATGTGTGTATACAGTATAGTGTGTTAGATGACTGTGGCTCAGCACAACATGAACAACATCTCTTCTTATCTCAAATCAACCTATTTAACTTACGAGAAAGTCGTACATCAATGAGAACAGGAAAAGGGGTGAAGCACCCCAGAGTGGAGGGGAAGGGAAAGAGATATTCTACGATGGTGTGGTGCTGTAGGATAAGTACTGGACCTCAAGGCCAGTTTGAACTGCAAGGTCGGTGGTTCAACTCCACCAACTGCTCCCTATATAGAGTTGCTATGCGTCGGAACCTACTTGATGGCACTAAACAATATGATGGATAAAGACAATGAGACTAGCACTTAATCTTTAAAATAGATTTTATTTTTTTTAGAGTAGTTTTAGGTTTCCAGAAAATTTGTGCAGAAAGTTCAGCAGTTTCTGTGTACAACGGAACTTCAAGAAGTTCATGGAAAAATGGAAATATAAGATAGTGGATTTTTTTCTATGAGCTTTTTGAAGTCCCCTGTGTTCCCCCTGCATACAGTTTCTCCTAGTATTAGTATCTTGCAATCATATGGTACCTTTGTTACAATTAATAGACATATGAATATATTATTATTAAGTTCATCATTGACATTGGGATCACTCTTTGTGTTATACAGTCCTGGGGGCTTTTTACAAATGCATGATGTCATGTGTCCACCATTACATTATCATACAGAATTGTATCATTGCCCTAAAATGCCCTTTAGCACCTGATTTTGATCCTCAATTAAAAAAAAAAAAATTGTAAGAAAGTACACTATATCAGGCATAGTTAAATGTCTTTCTTGTTGTATGCCATTGAGTCATTTTCCAACTCATAGTGACACTGTATAGGATTTTTGAGAGCAGCTGATGGTTTCAACTGCTGACCTTTCAGTGACCAGCCCATTGGTTATCCTATAGTGCCACACCAGGACGCAATGCCATTCTTACTGCCATCAATGATAAAATGTTTTATTGGAATAAATGGCATGTGAGATCTTGCCATTATAGCCAATTTTTTTCTTCCCAGCCTGCAAAAGAGATTTGCTTCTCAGAACCCTAAGTCTAGCTGCAGTCTCACTGTTAAAAAACCTGCTCTGTTCCTTTATAAAAGCCTGTTTACAGGAGTGTGTGTGTGTCGTTCCCTAGGACACGTCAACTGAGAATCACCCTCGTATCCATGCTTCAAAGGAAAGCCACAAAGAAAAGGCACAGCAGACCTCCAGGAGGGCCTTAGGGCATGCCCACATAGATCATTCCTGGCTCCTAAGTGACAAATCCCACATTGCATTCTATGGAGGCGCCTTCCCCAATAGGAAGGCAGATCTCAGTGGTAAGAAGCCAAGTGCCTTGCTTGTTGATCTGGCTAAACCTAATCTTGCAGAATTCATTTAAGCATACTAAGGCACATTTCCTTGTGCTGCTCATCTTAGAAAATAACAGCCAGTGTCCAGCTGGAAGTTGGCATTGGCCCCCACTGTCTTTCCTTTGTTTAGTGCTTAACTACACACAGTCTGGAATCAGACTGCCTGGGTTCAAATCATGCCCCATTTACCAGCTGTACCTGATCTTGGACAAGTTATTTAATCTTGCTGAGGCTCCATTTCTTCATCTATAAAATGGGATAATAATAATAGTGCATAAAGCTATTGTGAGGGTTAAGTGAGTTAATGCATGTAAAATATTTTGCACAATCCTTGTCCTCAATACATATTATTATTGCTATCATTCTCTCCATTGTCTTACTCAGCCAGCAGGAACCCAACTCAGAGCATGAAATCAGTGCTCTCTGAGTGTACTTCAGCCAAAGCCTTGGCTAGCTCAGTCCTCTGTCACCTTCTCTACCCATTAACCAAAAGGTGACAGAAGATGGAAGTCAATTGTCCATTCCCATACCTGCAACTAACAAATCCTCGAAATCATCCTGTTTCTGCAGACAAACAAGGAAATGTGAAGTTCCTCAAGGGCAGAAGCGATGGCTTGTTACAGAAGCCTCCTGCGGAAAGATGCCTTTTCCCTCCATTACCATCTGCCACTGGCTCAGAGAAAAACACACCTGAGGAACTTCAGAAGAAAAAGGTCGTGTATGTGTGTGCATGTGTGTGTGTGTGGTTAAGGTTAATCCCAGTCTAGGAACGAGATGGTCAGAAGGATGTCTCAACAGAGAACTGAAATTACTCACTTCCAAAATCACCATGTTGGACTAGAATAAGTTATAGTCATTTACTGAATGCTGAAAAGAATAAATTCAACAAATTTTAACAGTTCTCAATTCTACTTTAAAGCTTATTCTATTACCACATTCTCTGTTAGCAACAGAATCCTTTATCCTATTGTTGTTATTGTTAAGTGCCATTGAGTCAGCTGGTGGGTTTGATCTGCTGACCTTGTGGTTTGAAGTCCAGTGTTGATTCTACAGTGCTACATCAGGACTTTTCTTTGTTGTTGTTAAGTGCCATTGAATAGGTTCCAACCCACAACAACCCTGTATAAGGTTTCCAAGGAGCAGCTGGTAAGCTTGAACTGCCAACCTTGTGGTTTAAACTGACTTTGCAGTCTAGCGTATTAACCCACAGCACCACTCCTTGTTCCATTAAGGGGCCACAAGTTAACTGCAATATGTAAGGACAGAATTTGAGCTTGTAAGCAATTAGCCCACTTGAAACTCAAAATGCTCAAGATTGTGAATCCAGTAATCATTTGGTTCAATTTGCTCAATTAGACAATTTAAAGTAAATCTTTTCAGGTTTACCAAACCCTTCCAGAAGTTAAGAGCATCTCCATCCTTAGAGACGTCTTTAGCCATCTCTAACCTGGTCTTGTTTTGCGGTTCTTTGTGGGTCTTTGGTGGTTTAAGGGCACCTGTGAGGAATAGGAACAAGCATGGAACTCTAAAAGGTAAACGCAAAGGCCTGGCTTGGAGCCTCAGCTCTGTGTTAATTTATGTGAGTTACTCCACTATCTGGGCGACCATGACTATATCTATGTCCACAGATAATAATTCCAATCTACTAGGCTGAGGGGAGAATGAAAGGAGAAGACATACTTTATTTGTGTCCACTTAGCTAATTGTAGAATTTTGTGTCATCTGAAGTAGCTCCAAAGGAATAGTAGACACTCCAGGTGACCTTGGTGCCAACAAGCCATTGTTTATAGTCTGTTCAGGATTTTCTCAGATTTCCTGTAGCTAAACTGATTCTATACACCTTCCTGTCCACCCCAGAAGGGCCTCTGCTCCCACAGTCTCCTTTCGGCCAGGGGTAAGCAGCCAGAGTCTCACCCCAGGCTTCAGGACGGTACTTGATCTTAAACTCAAAGCCAGCCCAGAACTGAGCCAGGGTCAGTGGAAATGAATCGGTATACAGTTTAGTAGAGGAAGGCAATGTTTTCCACTATATTAAAATTCTGTTTAATTTTTTAATTAAAATAAAGAAATTAAGTCCTGAGCTTGTCAGTCATACCTCATACAAATCATTTTAATTTCCACATAGATTTCTAAATGCAAACCTTGTCAAACAAAATGCACAAGGTCAGTATTCAAAGACAGGCAGTTGGTGGGCAGCCGGGCACCTGGACAGTGAAGGCCTCCAGGAACATAAATACCTTATGTGCATGTGTTTGGCTAATACATTTTTTAATGTCTCGAAATTATAAATGCTACCCTGGTTGTATTTTCTTCCTCATTCAGCTCTAAAGATGTAGGATACATATATGTGTTTCTGATCGTTTTTTTCTTTTTGAGTTCTAAAAAAGTGAGAAATGTTTTTATTTGTTCTATGAAATTGAGTTCCCCAACACCCTGAAACTGAGCGCACACATGTCTTAAAGTTAAATTCATAGGTTAAAGGTTACAAGCTAAAAGGAGAAAATTGCAACAACTTTTGAAAAGCTGGGAGCAGGAGATTCTAACTACTGCCTCTAATCTCTCTCCTGCTTTCTCCATAAATACATAATACACACATATATGTATACATGTACACATATGTTACCTTATCAATAGAGTTAAGTCCTTTGCAGTCATGGCAACTCCATGTGGGTCAGAGAACTGTGCTCAGAAGAGTTTTCAATAACTGACTTGGAGTAAGTCAATCACCAGGCCTGTTTTCTGAGATGTCTCTGGGTGGACTCAAACCTCTAACCTTTCTGGGAACAGCTGAGCAGGTTAACTGTTTGCACCAACCAGGGACCCTACATATATATTCAAGAGGGGTTCAAAAAGTTCATGGAAAAATGCTATTGTCTTTTAATTCCGATTTTCTACAAACTTTTTGAAGTCCCCTCATGTATGCACATACATAAAGATACTTATATAAATATTTGTTTATGTATATATGTGTTTTGGTTTTTTTAACAAGCTCAAAAACTGGCTAAATGTGGCTGATTCTGACTGACAGTGATTTTTGGAGAAGTATAAAGCTAAAGGCGAGATATTCTGTTACTGGTTAGATTGAAATATTAAACTCTCATGAGAGAAGAATCTACTCTCGAAGTATTGTAGAAATAATCATAGTTCCACACATTACTATAACATAAATTAACTTACCTAACCCTCACAATAATTGCTTGAATTAAGTAGTATGAGTATCTCCATTTTACAGAGGAAGAAACTGAGACTTGAAGAGATTTTATAAAGCAAGCAAACACAAATCTATATTCCTATTTTCTGCCCCATCTTCTAGAAAAGTTGTGTACTCAATGTTCTGCTCCTTATAGTCTTCCCTTAACAATAGAAGCCAAAATGTCTCCCGGTTGATACATAGAGATCTCAGCTATATCATATCATTTCAGCGGGGCTCAGTTTCCCTAGCTTCAAGAGAAAAAAAAGACTATATTTCCTGTTAAAGGCTCTTGAATTTATTACATTTATAATTTTCAAAGTAATCAAAGGCTGGATTAACAAAGCATGAACTGAGCTCCCAGCAGGCAGAGACCCCACCTCCCACCCCAGTCAGACACACTGCTCCCAAATGAGTTCCTTTTACTTCCTCAGCTACATCCCTACCCAGCAGTACAGATACCATAGAGTTCACCCCCTGCAGGCAGCTAGGTTTGGAGACCTGCCATGTTGGTTTTTGTTTTGTTTTAAAATTTTCTCCAGGTGCCAAAGGCTTTGAAATTACCTTCCATCTCAGAAGAACCACCCAGACTCCTGGACCCCATGAGGAATCAATTGAAAGCCAAGGAGCCCCCAACAGAGCTCTTCATCTTTCCAGTGGAGATTCATTTCCACACCCAAAACCTCCCAAAAGGAAAAGCCTGCAGAAAAGGTAGGGTCCATTGGATGGTGCCAGAGGAAACTCCACCAGGACAAGAATGATGGGATGGGGGTCCAGCTAATCCAACTCATGCCTGTCTCCCACCTGACCTTCTGCAGAGAAATTTTTTTTTTTTTTAAAGAAAAAGGATAAATTGTGGGAAAAGATCACTTCTGGTGAACTATTTTTTAATTATGGTCCTTATTAAGCAATTTGTTTTTCTGAACCTTGGAAAAGACTAACATAATAAGATGTACTACCTCCAAGGCTCTTACATGCAAAGGAAAACAAGTATCCACATGGCATGTATTAAAGTGGAGGTGTAAGAATTTCCAGGCAGTTTTCAAAAAATAAATGCAATGTAAAACAGGATAGCTAAAAATGGAATAATAACAAAACTAGTTAAGAGGCGCTGAGAAATAGGTGTTATCAGACATCTGGGATAAGTTTGTGGATTCCAGTAAACATTGGATTTAGCTGAGTTCTCTGGCAGCCAAGGTAAGAAAGAATACTTAGATTCTCATCTTATAAAAGAAAAGTTTGTCTGAAGAGTCATTGTCTTGATTTTGGATTAATTTATGATGTTGCATTGTTAAATGACCTCTATGATCCTAGTCGGGGCAGCGATTTCATGTTTCTAAGCAAAATACAAGAGGCTACAGGCACAAGAGAGATCGATTCCTACTGGGACCTTGGAAGCCATTTCTATGGGTATGGCTTCTGAGTGACTGCTCACCTTACATATTCTTTCTGACCTTCCTAAATAAGGCATTCTACAGCACTCTTGTGCATTCTTGCTCCTGGGACTTCTAGTCAGTCAGAGGGAAAAAGCGACTTTAAACATTTGATTCCAATTTTGAGGGGTCCGCTTCTGAATTTTCTAGAAACGTCAGCAGAACTGCCCTTGGTTTCTCAGAGACATTTAAGTCCTAGGTGCCATACAGGCAGTCATTCATTTTGTTCTGAGGCAATCTGGAATTCTCAAGATGAACAAGAATGCCTAACTGTTGAGCTTAAAAGATCAGTTCATGAAAGAGGGCTTAAGGGAACCATAGGAAGAAATAGAAATGTTCTCAATCCTCATTGTCATTTTGGTTACATGGGTATATAATTTTACCAAAACTAATTGAAGATCTGGGCATGTCACAGTATGCAAACTTTATCTTATTTTAAAGCTATCCTTAACTCCTTAAAACACAGGGAGAAATTGAGTGTGTACACATGCAAGAAAGTAGAAGACACGAGACTATTAGCAAGATTGGTATAAAATCTTGATTGTTCTCCATGATTCCATGATGGCTGGCAGGAAAGTCAAGACCATGACAAGACTATCATGAACCAGATTCTTACAGCTATTAGAGATGTTGCTAAATGAGAAACAGGAAGGAAGTACATAGGAAAGTGGATTAATTGAGCTCTCCTGTCTTTTGTATGCTATTGTTGCTGCTGTGTGCCATCCAGTCGGTTCTGACTCATCTTGACCCTGTGTAGGGTTTCCAAGGCTGAAAATTTCTATGGGAGCAGAAAGCCTCAGCTTTCTCCCATAGAGCTGCTGGTAGATTCAAACTGCCAACGCTGCTGTTAACAGTCCAGTATGTAGCCCACGATGCCACAGGTCTACTATTGTATGAGGAGGCTTTAAAACGTTTGTGGGGAAATTTCATTCTCTTTTAACTCAATTTTTCCATGAACTTTTTTTAAAGCCCCTTCAAATGTCAGTGAGGACTCTAAGTTGCAATTGTCAGAAACACGTAATTCAAACTATCTTAAACAAAAGAGAATGTATTGCATCCCAGCTGAGGAGAGAGTTACTGCAGGGAGCTGCGAGTCTCACAGCTGCTCAGGGTGTTTTGAACTTCACCTATAAAGATGGGCAGAATTTTCCTTGACCACATCGGTGGCACCCGCCTGTTTTCCTCTGTTAACTGCAACACGATCCTGACCAACCCCTCTGAGCTCATCTCCACTTTTTTCACAGGGGCCACCCTCCCGGCATTCCTTTTTAACAAGGTAGTTAACCTGCAGTACAGTGAAGTTCAAGACCAGGTCATGCTCACAGGCCGCCACATGGTTCGAGATGTGAGCTGCAAAAACTGCAATAGCAAACTGGGGTGGATCTATGAGTTTGTCAATGAAGACAGCCATTGTTATAAGGAAGGCTGTGTGATCCTGGAAGGCTCTTTAGTTTAAGAAAGTGAAGGCTTTGAGGAGCATGTATCATCTGATAACTCCTGAAGAAAAAGACAGAAATACCGTCTTTTCCCAGGTCTTCTTCACTGAAAACACAAGCCTACTTACACACACTGTTACCTTAGCATCAGAGTAGTATTCATGGACTGCAGAACAACAGCTTGTGAGAATCTAAGATGGAACTTTTCTTTCTTTCTTTTTAAAAAATTTCCATCCAACAACAGTGTGTAGAGAATATTATGCAGATGCCGTTAAGGGGTTTTTTTCCCCCCTATTTTTGCATCTTGAGGCAGGACAGTCTAGCTGCAGCTATATAATGGGCTAAGTGAGGACAAAATCTGGGCTATTAGAGTGAAAAGTGTTTCATGTAAATTTTTGAAAGGAACATGATGTCAAGAGCATGGTTTTTAAACATATTTAGGCTTCATTTTAAAACCTTTTTAAAAACTCACCTGGTTCGCTAGCTTCAAAGGAGAGATCTGAATGTGTGACCAGCACTAAAGGTCCAGTGTTGTGCTTGTGCTGGTCATTGTGCCATATTCCTGTGGGAGATGAACCATAGCACCAGAGCACATTCTTGCTTGTCAGTTGACCCAAAGATGTCACCATTCCTAGTTATTTGTCACCACTTAATTGGTGTTGTTTGGAAAGTTTGCCTGAAATGGGTAGAACTTCTTGGTTGTCTTTTCCCCTGTAATTTAAGTGTAGCAATATAAATAAAGTGATAGTTGGGGGAAAAAAAGTGAAATGTATTAAATCATGTAATTGGGAGTACAAGGATCAGATAGTATCAGGCACAATTAGATCCAGGATTCAGAAAATATCTCTGAGTACTATTCCTTTAAGGAGCTCTGGTAGCATAGTGGTTACGAATCGGGCTGCGAACCTTAAGGTCAGCGGTTCGAAACTACCAGCTGCTCCGCGGGAGAAAGATGAGGCTTTCTACTCCCGTAAAGATTTACACCCTCGGAAACCCTGTACAGGGTTGCTATGGGTCGGAACCGACTCGAGGGCACTTAACAACAACAACACAACAACTATTCCTTTAAGTCTTCAACTTATAGATCTTTCCTCTCAAACAGACTCTCCCTCATGGTGACAAAGATGGCCTTCTGAAATTCTAGGCTAACCCCCTACCTATTTAGCCCCAGTAGCAAGGATGCTTCCTAACAAACACCCTTGTAAAAGTCCCAGAATTACCTTTGATTGGCCAGGCTTGGGTCATGTGGCCACCCTGGAACCAATCACTGTGGCTAAGACAAGAAGGTATCTCATCAGCCAGTTGTCAGTCACATGCCCACCCCTGAACCAGAGACTAAACAAACACAGCTCCACTTGATCTGAGTAGGGGAACGTTGGGTCCTAAAAGGGAGAGACTGCTGGCCAAAATATCAGCCATCTTATACAACTCCATGTTCTCTTTGTCCCGTAGGTGCTTCAGGCCCTGAGTCAGGACCGGGAACAGGAGAAGAGGCCAGGCCACTATGGAAGCCTCTTCTGAAACATGGGGCCTTAGAAAGGCCTAGAGGGTTAACAGTGCAACTCCCAGAGGACACGGGCAGGCACATGCTCTCACCTCAAGGTAGTTACTCTCTCCTTCCAGCATCTCACAGAAACCTCATTCTGAAGGGAAGCAAAGCAAGTCATACAAAGGTGCTCAGCCAAGAAAAAGGAGGCTGGAAGGGAGGTTAGTTCATCCCAAGCTGCTTGAAAAAGGCAGAGCTGCCTTAACCAAAGTCAAACTAACTTCGTGTCTAGCTCACAAGTTACTTACTCACTAAATCACCTCTCTATCAATTTTTTTCTGGTTGCACCTGATAAAAAACACCAAGTGTTCTAAAAATGTCCTGTTTGCCCTATATTTCATCCTATGTTTTTAACCAGTGAAGTTTCACTTCTCATCTGTTTATGAATATGTGCTTATTTATTTAAATTGAAATTATATACATGAGTTCATCTAGATATATATTTTCATGTGCTAGATAGATTGGAGCTATTTCCATATTTAGAAATCTTCCCATTTTCAGGAAACAGAATCAGTTTACCAAAGGGCAAGTATAAGATGATGGCATAATAGATGTTGTTACCTTTGACGAGTGGTTAACTAACTTTGTTGTTATTAAGTGCTGTCAGGTCAGTTCTAACTCATAGCGAGCCTGTCTAGGGTTTCCAAGGAGTGACTGGTGGGTTTGGAGTACAACCTTATGTTTAGCTGTCCAGTATTGATCCTACAGCTCCACACTGGGACTCCTTTCTCCAATTGTTGTTGTTAAGTGCCGTCGAGTCAATTCCGACCCATAGTGACCCTGTATAGGGTTTCCAAGGAGCAGATGGTGAGCTTGAACCACTGACCTTGCAGTTTAAATGACTTTGCAATCTGACGCATTAGCCCATAGCACCAAATGTAAAAAAAAATTCACTGCCATCATGTCAATTCTAATTCATAGATAGCATCCCTGTACAAGGTTTCCAAGGCTATAAATCTTTATAGGAGCAAAAAGCCTCATCTTTCTTCCATGGAGTGGCTGGTGGGTTTGAATTGCCAACCTTGTAGTTAGCAGTCTGGTGCTTTTTCTACAGCACCACACCAGGTCTCAGGTGACTTATAAAAACAAAAATTCTTCTTGCACAGTCAGGAAGCTGGAAGTCCAAGATCAGTGTGTTCCCCATGTTGATATTTTCTGAGGCTTCCAGAAAACATCTATCCCATGCCTCTCTCCTAGCTTCTGGTAGTTCCTAGCATTGCTTGGCTTATAACTGCAGTATCACATAGCATTTTTCTTCCGTCTCTCTGTCTGTCTATTTTTCTTGTTTATAAGGACACCAGTTATATAGGATTAGGACCCTTCCTACTCCAGTATGATCTTACATTAACCCAACTGGCAACATCTTCAAAAACCCTATTTCCAAACAGGGTCACATTCACGGGTATAGGGATTAGGACTCCTATATATCTTTTGGGAGAACACAATTCAATCCATAACCAATATTAACACTTATTGAATTTTTCCACTGTGCCAGACACTGTCCTTCGTTTTCAATGTGTTATTTCATCTATCACTCATACTAGTCTTATTATCCTAAGAGATAAGTAACTTCTTTGAGATCACCCAACCCTAAGTGGCTGAGCTGGAATTGGAGCTCAGGGTATCTAATGCCAGAAGCTGTGTTCTTACCCATTATAATGCACTCCCTTCAATGCACACAAACTAGAACCTTCTGGGAACATTTAGATTTTGTGAACTTCCTTTGATTATTGGTGTCTGGTTAGTCTTTGGTGAAAGTTAATCATCCTGAAGACTTTGAAGTTTCTATTAAACACACACACACACACACACACAAATATGGATAAGGTGGTTCCATATTTAAAAGCACTTGTCCAGTTGTGGGCTATGTCATGAAAACACACGGCCTGAGGCACCAAGACAAATTCAGTTCCAGTGAATTTTGTCTGGTGTCCCTCACCATGCATTGCCTTCACTTGTTGTAAGCTGCCATGTCCCCCAGGGACACTAGTATATAGAACTTTTCCAAATCTCTGCCACTCTGCCAGGAAAAAGCTATTCCAAGAAGTCACTAATACCTTGATATAAATTAGTTTATCTAATGGCCCAGTCCAGTCATAGACACATAAAGAAAGAAATCCAAAAAAGCTAGTCTTCCATGGCAGACTCACAGTGAGTAGGACTGACCCATTGCCACAGAGATTTGCAGTTATGCACATATACAAGCTTTCCCTTGGAGCCCTGGATTATTTCACCTCTAAAATCACAGAAAGGAGTGTTTGGTTGCTCTGCAGGATATGCAATGGACTGCTAACCACAGGTTTGCAGTTCAAACTCACCAGCCACTCCACAGGAGAAAGGTGAGGCTTTGCGCTCCTGTAAAGATGTACAGCCTCGGAAACCCTGTATGTACAGAGTCCCTATGAATCAGAACCAACTCGACAGCACATAACAACAACAACATCACAGAAAGGAGCCCTGGTGGTGCACCGGGTAAGCGGTCAACTGCTAACTGAATGATTGGCAGTTCACACCCACCCAGCACCTTCACAAGAGAAAGAACTGATCCTCTACTTCCGAAAAAACCTAGGGGGCACTTGTACTCCATCACATCCCGGGGTCTCTATGAGTGGAAAATGACTCAAAGGCACTTACAACAGCAGTATCATCGAAATGACGTCAAGTTTTATATATACACATATATATATTTATTTTTTGCTCCAGATATTGTGTTTTCTTTTTCCCTTGTTGCTGTTGTTAAGTGGCGCAGTGTTGTTTCTGACTCATAGCAACCCTGTATAGGGTTTCCAAGGAGCAGCTGGTGAGTTTCAATCACCAACCTTGTGGTTCAAGCCGACTTTGGGGTCCAGTGCTTTACCCCACAGCGCCACACCAGGACTCCTCTCTTCCTTATCAGCAGCTATTTCCTAAAACCAAGAGTATTCTCCTTCGTAATACAGTGATTGCAACATAATGATCACACTCCAGAAAGTTAACAGGGACGTAACCCTATTTTCTCATGTGGAGTCCATATTTAAATTTCTGCATTTCTACAATAATGTTCCTGTATAGCTGCTGTTTTCCTTTCCCATCCAGACTCCAGCTCAGGGACATGCATTACATACTTGTCACATCACTTGAGAACTTTTCAACCTAGAGCAGTTCCCCAGACCAAATGCCTTTCATGACATTAGCATTTTAAAAAACCATAGGCCAGTTTTTATACAGAATTGCCTTCAAGCTAGATTTGTCTGATTTCTTGTGATTATGTTCAGAGCTCTGATGTGGCACTGTAGAATAAACACTGGTCTGCTAACTGCAAGGCTGTCAGTTCAAACCCACCAGCGGCTCCTCAGAAACCCTGCACAGGGTCAACAGCACTTAACAACAACAACAGCATATTACATAGTCAACATTGAGTCCTTCTCAGCAAATTACATCAAGGGACACAAAATATCCATTGGTTCCATTTAAAGTGATATTAAATTTCATTATTTGGTTAAAGGTGTCATGTCAGATCTCTCTGTTGTAATAAATGAGCAGTCTGTGAGCTGATGATACTACGAGACTGTATGTGAAGCTAGCTTTTAAACAAATAGCAACAGCTGTGAGCATGGGTTAAGAACCCCTCTTTCTGACTGAGATTAGATAAGGCCTTAATTACTTAGATCACTAGGATTCACTCTTCTGAGAACAGTCCCAGCTGGTTTTGAAAACAGAAAAAGAGAACATGGTGGGGGATAGAATGTGCTTTATGAAGTGTTAGCATCAATTCCATTACCCTCTCAACTGAAGCCATGGACCAGATTTGGGGCTGCTAACCCCAAGGTCAGAGTCCTGTTGTGGTGCTGTGGGTTAATGCGTCAAAATGCAAAGTCTTTTGAACTGCAAGGTTGGTGTTTCAAGCTAACCAGCTGCTCCTTGGAAACCTTATAAGGGTCACTATTGGTCGGAATCGATTCCATAGCACTTAACAATAACAACAACCCCAAGGTTGGCAGTCCAAATTCACCAGGCACTCCTTGGGAGAAAGACGAGACTGTTAGCTTCTGCAAAGATTTAGTCTCAGAAACTCTACGTAAGGTTGCTATAAAACAGACTTGATTAGATGGCAGTGTGTTTTGGATACCATATTGATGGAAGGTATTTTGCACCTTCTGTGATCATTGACTCTACTTACCAAAATTGTTTTGTGACTGAAAATCTGAGGGCTGGAAATCTAGTCCTCTTTCTATCTCAAGATCCCATCAAAGACAAGCATCCTGGTGTGGCGTTGTAGGATAAGCACTAGACTGCAACCACAAAGTTGGTGGTTCAAACCCACCAGTCACCCTTCAAAAACTCCATACAGCATCGTTATGACCTTCAAAAACTCTATACAGCATCGTTATGAGTCAGAACTAACTAAATGGCACTTAACAACAACAATCGCTCTTCAATTTTTTGTAGTTTAAGTTTTTTGGAGATCTCCTAAATGAAAGGTCACTGTTCTAACCAAGAGTAATTTTATCTTGACCACGAAAGACACCTCCTCTTTAGGGCTAACATTGAGAATGAATAGAATAAACCCCACTAAACACTAGGAGCCATTCTCTGCCTCATGACTTCCTCCCTTTTGCTTTGAAAGACGATGAAGTCCAGGCTGTAGTCCCACCACTGTGTCTCCTGCCCCCAAATAAAGGAAGAAGAGCGCCAGCAAGTCCACACAGCCTGGAGAGCCCCAGGACACGAAGCTGCACATCTCCCCTCTACATGAGAGAGCTGGGGAGGGAGCTTCCAGCAGAAGGACATGGTAATCATTCCTGGAGTGCAGGTGCCCCGGCCTCCCATTGGCTTGTCTGTGGTCCTGGGCTCATTTTCATCATCTTCCAGGGCTGGGTGGCAACTGTGATGTAAGCTCACTGACAGCCACCACATTGCAAAGGGGACATGGGCAATGTTTCCCATGATGTCAGAGAGATTAGTGTTCACCACGGGTATTCCTCAAGAGTCAGTACATGTTTTAAGGGGTTGCTGCACCAACATGCAGTGCCAAGCTGTTTCGTGTGTTCCTCACTCCTGGCAGCAACATGTGATGACACAACCTCCTGCTCTCATGGAGAGACATGCTACTGAACTGACCAAGCATACTGAATGCCAAGCCATAAACCTCCCCCTACAAAGGAGCCTTGTGACCCTGCCAGTAAGAAGAGTCTCCTGAAAGAAGTTACCCTCTCGTCCAGAGCAGAGCCTGAGTCTGTACTTCTGAAGGGCGAGACCCGGCAAGGCTCGTCCTCTGTGAATTTGTTGGTGTTATGTTACCCTCAAAGGAGAGTCGATTCTGACTCCTGTAGACCCCATGTGACTGAGCAGAACAGCTCCATAGGGCTTCTGAGGTTGTGACCTTTCAGAAACCGATTGTCAGGGCTATTTCCCAAAGTGTGGGTTTGATCCACTAATCTTTCAGCCAGCAGTCAAGCACTTAAACATTTGTGCCACCCACGGATGCCTCCTCTATGACTTAGCCCCACTTAAAGTCCTTGGCCTTAAGGAGCTGACAGTCAAGGAGGCGACTAAGATGTTTATACAAGAGCAAAATCCCAAGGACAGTACAGTAGGCACTTCTATAGGGAGTCTGATCTAAAAGCAGTTGATAAAACAAAACTTCCTTAAAGTCCAAATCGCCCCTGAAAAACCACTTTGGGAGGTGCCACACTGTAGGCTGACAAATCATTTTCCAGTGAGTGCAGCCCAGCCAGCTGTCCCCATCCCTCATTGAAGCACTGGACTTCTTTTTCTGGCTGAGCACCAGATGAAGGAGATGGCATATATTTGGTGACCAGACTGTGAAGAGAGTATCTCTGTTAACATCAGAATCACACTCCCTGATGCAAAAGAAATTCACACTCCCAGACACATGGGAACTGAGAGCCACCAAGAAAAAACAACAGATTTCACATCCTTCAGCTCATGCTCCCTCAGGGTTAGAGTTCCTTGCTATTTCAAGTTCTCTCATACACACTTTCCTTCCCCCAATTATATAGAGTTGAATTCATAAATACATAATATAAGTAAATACATAAATCAATCATGCCATTACGTATTTGTAACCTCTTAGCTTGTGATGGTCAAAATCAAGCCTCCTACACACACATACTCCCCAGATAATTGCTTTCAGTTAGAAACCAATTCCAAGTTGGGAACTTTCTTTCACAATTTTAGATGAATCTTAGGTACTGTGATGTCAGTCCCAAGGGTCTTCCTAGCCTAGCACACATCACTCTGAGTACACAGACATTTGCTCAGACTTCTTTATGCAGGGGACCTGAGCAAAATGAATGTCGGGGCCGAGGCTAAGGTACGAGGGCAGTGGGAAGCCTCAAGTGCGGCTTTCGGGGATAAGGGTGGGTATATGTAAGTGAATGCATGTGTGGGTGCAGTGTCTGGGGGAGTACTTGCATGTCCATGTGGATGCATGTATGTAAGTGCCTGTGGCACACATGCATACCTGAGTGTGTGATTGTGCATGTCTTGAATATGTATGCATGCCTGTATTGAGCATGTAAGTATGTGTAGATATGTGAGTGCACCATTGCACATGTGTGCATGCATGGGTTACAGTAGGTACATGCACACACACCTGCATGTATGTGGTGGTGCATGTCTTGTGTAAATGAGCATATAAAAGCCTGTTGTAAGTGTACGTATATGTACACCTCTGTGAATGTGTGTGTGCTTGTAAATGCATGTGTTGTGTGTACTATTACACATCCATTGTGGTTCTACTCTTGGACCCTTTATGCTAGAGATGGGGAAGGTAGAAGTATAGAAACATCTTCAATCTTTTAAAGCACTTGTGGGAAATACAGGTTCCTTGTCCCCCTTGACTCGAGTCCCCTGGAGTCCCTAAGAAGTCCTTGCAATTGGTCTCTAATAGTGATACATGAGTTGAGGCTAGAATCTCAAAGCCCTGTACTCAAAAGCTGGACTGCACACTTGGAGGAAGGTGCCCCATCAGTCAAACCTTGCCCCTATAGAGCTGTTTGAGTCCAAGGGGGCCCTACTCACAGACCCACACAAAAGCAAGGCAGCCTCACACTCTTCAGCAAAAAAGTTGTTGTTAAGTGCTGTTGATTTGGTTCTGACCCATAGCGCCCCTGTACATGGTTTCCAAGGAGTGACTGGTGAGCTTTCTTTGTCAAATCGCAGGAGTAGGGCTCATTCTATACTCTGATGAGCACTTGAGAACGCAGGTATCTGTGTCTGTGCCCGTCAGGAGTTAGGGGAACACAAGTCAGCCTTCTTCACCTGCGCTGGTGCTAACACTGTCCATGCTTTGTGCTTATTTTGAAGAAGAGTCCAGAGACCCCACACTGAGAGACTTCTTCTTGGGTCCAGATGGACAAAAAGTCTGCCTGTCCCTCCTGGGGCCTACCCAAACTGAGGATCTTCTGCCAGCTGAAGGTAAGATGATGTATTCCAGGTCAGTCTTGTTTTCAAAGAGAAAGATTTTACCTGCAGCTTCCAATATTTCCCAGAAGCAGAAACATCATTAAAAACAGACCCAAGTCAGCTGGTTTCTCCCTTCTCATTGACACAGAGGTGCTTCTGTACCTCAGACACAATAACCCAGTGTTTGCATAGCAAGTTCACTCTTGCTGGAGAAGCTGGAAAGAGAAGTTTCAGTGGAATGGCTTGGAGGAGGTCTAATGTGCCGTGTTGATGCCTTGATGAGAATGATAAAGCCCTTCTGGTATTTGCCCAAACTAAACATTGGCTTTTTGCTTCTTTCCAACCACCCTCCAGAGGTGGAGATGGCTAATTGGTAATCCAATCAGGTACCTTGTTATGTGTATTGGTTCATTGCTGTGAATCATCTGGCTCCTGACAGATATCAAGGCTGTTTCCAACAACCCTTCTGGCACATTAGATTTTTGGAAAAGAGGTGCTGGCTCTGGGCATAGCCATTTTGCAAAGGAAAAGAAAAAAAAATGAAGTCAGAGGATGGTGAGTGTCAACCACCCAGGATCCATCATGATGTGTATGCATGAACAGAATAGTAAAGCCAGCAGACCTCTTGCTGAGTGAGATTACAATCTGAACTCATTTGGAGGATTATGCTACAATTGGCTTATTAAAAGAGCATGGATTTAGAGCCAGGAGATCAGAGTAATCCTGGCTTATCATCAACATTGCCAGTTGACTTTGGGTCAATCCTTCATCTTACCTATGTCCAAGCCTTCTCATCTGAAATGAGAAGATTGGACTACATGACTCTCCCATGGTTATCAGCTGTAAAATTCCTTAACTACTGCTGCATTTTACATCTTGTGTCAATTGTTATTAAAGTAGCCACCTACTATATGGATTTCCATAAACAAAACTGTGTTTGGTTCCAAACTCAGCATTAAGGAATATCCATAACCATTTGGGTTATACCATGATATAAGTACAAACATAACTGGGTTCTAGCACTAACATGGACTCCTCTAACCGGAGACCAGAAGAATTAGATGGTGCCCAGCTACCAGTAAAAGGTTCCTGCTAGAATGACTAAAAATGTAGAACAAAATTCAAATTAAAAAAAGGGCCAGACTTACTGGTCTGAAAAAGACTAAAGGAATCCCTAAGATTATTTCCCTAAGGCAACCTTCTAACTTGAAGCGCCAGATACTCCCAGAGGCCAAACCTCTCAGCCAAATAATAGATAGGTCTAGAAAATAAACACTAACACCCATGGAAAAAGTGCTCCTTAGAAAAATCAACTCTAGGAGACCAAAAGAGCAACGTTTGCTCAAAAGCAAAGACAAGAAGACAGGGAGGGACCAGGAAACGAGATGAATGGAAGCGGGAATGCAGGGGGAAATGGAAGGGTGTTAACTCGTTATGGGAATTGCGATCAACATCACTGAACAATTTGTGTATGAATTATTGATCAGAAAAATGAATTTGCTAGTTAAAATTTCACCTAAAGCACGATAAAGTGTTTAAAAAGTAAATAAGTGGGTTCTGAGTTGGTGGGAGCAGGAGGCAGACAGGTGGAGACCACTGCTAGTGTGGCACAGCCGTACAGCAGGGAAAAAGCCACAAAGCAAAAATGATTCTGTTCACCTGCTGTACACGATCCACTCTGCTCCTAGAGAAGCAGCTCCCCTCGTGGCAACACAAAAGTCAGAAGCAGAAAAGGAAACATTTAGTATTTAAGTCTGTCATCCCCATGGTCAATATGATGCCACAGTCATTTCAGTATCCCCACACTGGGCACAAGCCCTGACATCAACATAGCAGAATCACAATGAATGTTCACTGACAAATCTTTCAATAACTTGCACATTAAAGGAAGAAAGGAAAGGAAGAAGAAAGGGAGAAAGGGGTCAAGATGAGAGTGAGCAATGAAATGAGGGTCAGAGAAAAAGAGGAAGACCCCCAATGAGATCGATTGGCCAGGTGGCATCATTGATGGACTCAAGTGTGACAACAGTAGTGAGGTTGGCCCAGGATCCGACATTGTTTCGTTCTGCTGTGCATAAGGTCCCTATGAGTTGGTGCCGACTTGATGGCACCTAACAACAACAACAATGAAACTTATGTTGAACCAGTGCTCTGAACACAATATTTAATCCTTTTTGCCTCTCAAACCAGAAGGCATTCAATGTGTGCTTGTTGGCTGAATCATCAATTAGTCACCAACCTTTTCCCAGCCTTTCCTCCATGTACACTTTGGATGGCCATCAATCTCTCTCTCTCTTTTTTAAAAAATATTTTACTGTAGTTTGGATGAAGATATACAGTCCAAACTTGTTTTCAGTTCAGCAATTTACACATTTTTGTTTCATGACATTAGTTGCAATCCTCTCAGTGTAGCAGGATTTTCCCCACTTTCTCCCTGGGTTCTATAATACCATTGGCCCATCTTTCCTGTCTCTTCCTGCCTTCTGAGCTTTGTTCTTAAGCAAATGTTGCCCTTTTGTCTCCTATTGTTGATTGTCCTAAGAAGCACATTCCATACAGGTGATTATTATTCACTTTATACTTTATAGACTTGTCTACTGATTAGCTAAGGAGCTCTAGTAGCGTAGTGGTTACAAGTCAGGCTGCTAATCTCAAGGTCAGCAGTTCGAAACTACCAGTCGTTCCACGGGAGAAAAATGAGGCTTTCTGTTTCCATAAAGATTTACAGCCCTATAAACCCTCTGGAGGGTCACTATGCATTGGAATCAACTCTGTGGCACACCACTACCACCACCATTACCACCATTGATTGGCAGAAAGGTAATCTCCAGTAGCGAGTTCTGTTTCACATTTGAGGGGTGTCTAAGGGCTATCATTTCAAGTGCCACCATTCTCTATCATACCATTAAGTCTGGTTTTCTTTATGGTTTTAAATTTTGTTCTATAATTTTTCCCACTCTCTCCAGGACCTTCAATTGTGATCCCAATCAGAGAAGTTAATAGTATAGTGGCAGTCAGGCACCATCTAGTTCTTCTGGTGTCAGGCTAGTGGAGGCTGGGGTGCATGTGGTACATTCGTTCTTTGGATTAATTGTTTCCTTGAGTCTTTAATTTTCTTCACTCTTCTTTGTTTCAGAGAGAAAGAGACCAACAGTTGTATCTTAGATGACCATTTGTGTGCTTTTTTTTTTAAAGCTTTTATTGTGAATTGAGTGATAATTTACATGGGAGAATATTGGTTTTGCACTCATCCTATTATATTTCATTTCATTGCAATGATTACAATCACCTCCATGCATCATAATTCAACAGTATTTGCTTCTATTACCCCAATTTTTGTTATTGTTGTTTTGATGTACACAAAACACTCAGGAATATCTAATCATTTAAACAACGTAAGGGCACATTCTGCAAGCCTGCCTCCTGGCCACCAGCACACAGCCTTGCTCTTTCCATGAGTCCAGAGACCTCAAATGCTCTGTCTCTCCATGTCCTCATCTCTGCCTCCATCTCTGGTGTCGCTGCTTCTCTGGATAGGGTTCCACATTCCACTTAAGCTTTTTTCTGTTGATGGTCCCTGGGTCCTCCAATGTAAGATTAACTACTTCCCTTTTATGTTACAAAACTTCTACCTTTACAGTTGTGACAATCACGATTAGCAATGACAACAATTACTCACTGTTAAATCATAAGAATTTTATCCCCATCTCCTTTTACCAGACCTGGCTAGACAAGATGAAAACTATTCAGTGGGGATTCTACCTTCCCACACACACTCTGAAACTAAACTCCCTCTTGAAAATTTGTAAGCCAGCCACTTCATGCCTTTATTGCCTGCCATTTTAGGTGGCCAATGTGTAAGTTGCTCGAACCTACTAGCACTGTGTACAAAGAGGATAGGTTTGATCCTTGATGTGAAGACTCCTTCCCTCTCAGTTGGTATTTTGAGCGACTACATCCATAAGCATAGGTCAAGTTCATCAAATTATAGCAATTTGCACTTGTTTCCTTTATCAAATTTCTTTATCTTCTTCTAGTTGAGTTCTGATCATCAAGTTCCCAGGTCTCACTACACTTCGGACCAACCAGCCCTTCCTCTTCTCTCTCTCGTCTCCAGTTCAATTGGCATCTATGGAACGTGGTTGAACCTAACCCATATCTTCATTGCTGCCTTTCCCCCACTTCCACCCACGAATAGACTAACATGGTCAACAGCAAGCTTCTATGAGCCTGCTCATGTGCTCCCTTTGAGTTTCAGTCTTGGAGGGGAATTTGTCCTGAAGGGATTTGATTGCTTGCCTTGATGGCTCCCTGGCGAATAATTTGTTTGTTCTTGTAGTAGCCAATCACACTACCATTTTTGGTTTTTAATTTTTCCTGCTGTTCTTTCTTTCAAGAAGTATCTTCTGTTCCTCTAGCTGCTCCAGGCTGGTCTGCATGTCCTATCAAGTAGGAATGTCCCACCGCAGAGGTTCTGGATGGAGCTCAGGATTCCACCTAAGGTCCTATACACTACAAAGTTTCCACAGGAAGCCTATTTCACTGGGCAAGTTCTAGAACCCCTTTTAGGTATTCCACTTTTAAGCTTTTAAGGCCCCAGTCAAGACCTTACAAAGAGAGGCAATACTTAAATGCACAAGGCCCCATAGTACAGGTATAGCTTTCTAAGGATTTCTATTAATGGGGAAAGACTTTGGTTTGGGGTTGTTTCTTTGTTACTGATTTGAGAAGCAATATCTTGGTATGGCACTGCAGGATAATGCACTGGACCACAAAGTCAGTTTGAATGGCAAGGTTAGCAGTTCAAACTCACCAGCCCCGCTCCTTGAAAACTCTTTACAGGGTCACCATGAGTTGGGACCTACTTGACAGCACTAAACAACAACAACATACTGAACAAAGTAGCCCTAAGGGAGTAGTGAATTACGAGCTGAGCTGGTAATCTCAAGGTCAGTAGTTAAAATCTACTAGTAGCTCCATGAGAGAAAGATGAGGCTTTCTGCTCCCATAAA